CCCTTTTTCAAAATTATTGTCAAATGGGTTTGCCCTAAAAGTGTTAGGTTTTGCCAATTTCTTCTAGAAAGTTGATTATAATGTCATCTAAGGCTTATGTAAAGATTATTATTGTATTTTAAATTGAAAATCGTAGACTTTATGGGATGGGTTTAAAACCCTAGTTTTGCTCTAACCTAATTATAGTTTTTGGAAAAAGATTTACGATTATATTTAAATATTATGATTTTTGGAATTAGACCGTGCCTATTGTGGTTGACATATTTTTCAAATGTTTATTTGGTGAAATAAAGTGTGATTATAGCGAACTTATTGCGTCTAATATCCTACTTTTGCATGGTTAAATGTTGATAATTGAAATATTTTGAGTTTAAAACGCTCTTTTTGAAATTTGCCTAAGAGCATGTTGAGTATTTGGTCAAATTGGTAATTGAAACTACCCGTCGAGTCCAATCAACTCGTCGATTGTTTGGATGATAAGGCATAGCCTTCCACCTTTGTGCCTTGCAAACACGTGAGCGTATACCGGTATTTTAGGATAACTAGCTAACCTTGAACTAGATCCCCAATGGGCTAGGTCGAGGGATCGAGATGGCGGGTTCCCTTTTTGGGTGATTCCGAGGTGCCCGTCATTCACGATGAAAAGGTCTTTGGACCGTCATCCGTGATGGAGGGTTGGATTGCGTACAATCCCCTCTTGGTATGTTATATTGGAGAATAGAGGGTTGTGGACCGTATGGCGCCCATCGCAAACTAATAATAAATTGATTTACGTGTATTTTGGGTTTCAAACTTTTATCTACACATTGTGGAGTTTCCTTTGAAGGTTGTGGCCCTATGCTTGTTATGTGAAACTATGTGACGGGTCATACGAAGTAATAAAGTTGGAAAACCGGGTCGAGCCGGCCCTGATTAAGGCCTAATGAAGTTTTCTTCATGATGTGCTCATCACTATTATTTGAGAATGAAAATGAGATATAAGGGAGGCGCTAAAAGACTCGTGTGTGTGAGTTATCCTTATATGATATGTGTCATCTTATTCAAATGATTTTGTGGCATTATATCGTATTAATTTATCTTCGATTAATTGCGCTTACTCAACCGTTGTGTTGACTCTCTTTTTACAACTTTTTGTAGGAGATCATGTTTCAGTTATACCTAAATGATGCATCCACATCATATAATCCATCGGGGGGGAACTCTAACTACTTTATCTTCTAAAATATTTTTGAAATCCATTATTAATGTTTAATAACTAATGCCTTTTGAACTATTTCCAACTTATGCTTTTGACTCGAACATTATTTATTTAAATGATAAACGGGTGCGCTTTAATTCTAAATCTCTAAATAGTTATTTTGTAATGGTTATTTTAGCCTTAGCGCCACAACGTATGGCTAGTTGGTTGATGGACAAGCCTTACGGTGTGGCGTGGCGGTGACGCTCCGGTTTGAGCCGACCGGGGTGTTACACGACGGGCGTAAGAATTCCAGGTATCCGCAACAGCTACTTCTAAACTATAGCCCGGGTTAAGAGGGGGCGGTTGAGGAAGTCAAAAAGAGGGACGCCTTGAGTGAGCCCAAGTTGTTGAGGGTAGTACCTGGGCTAGTATGTGTCTGCTACTAACGGATTGTAACGGTAACCCACGGCCAGGCCACCAACAAAAACTCGGGCAGTCAGGCATTTGTTCCAACAAACAGCTCGGGTAATGCAATCATTGGATTAGCCATCGCCATACGGAGCGACCAACTAATCCGGGCCAGCGGGGTGGCCAGCCAGAGGGCAGAAATCGTTAACAGAGCACTCAGGTTTGTGCATAAAGGAATGTGTAAGGGAATGGAGATTACCCCTGAACGGAGGATGCGACACTAAATAGGGACCTAAAATCATGGTCTGACCAAACAGAAGTTTGTGATGCAGGCTGGCCAAACGAGGGAAATACAGCCGCGCCCACAACTCAAGTAACCATAGCGGACCAGTTCCCACAGGATCACGAGAAAACGAACTAGATAGTTTATGCAGGGAGTCATTGATGCCACAATATAACAACCCAAGGAAATATGAGGCTAAATCTAGTTCTGCCCTTGATATGATGGCATTCACTACCGATTCGGCCTCTCGGACTACTCCTTTCGAGGCACAACAAGCAAAGTACTTATTGAACTAGTATAACAAGAAAGTGTTGTTCTCGGAAGGATCAACATCACCCGAAAATTTATTAGAATCAAGGAATTGATTCACGGTAGTGTTACTTTCGTAAGCTACGGGAATGGGTAGGAAGTCTGGTTTACAAGCCGATGATAAAGAGGGTTCCACTCTCTTTGTGGGTAAACCTAGGATCGTCACTATGTCTAGTACAGTGGGCGTTAAAATGCCAAATGGGAAAATGAAAGCATTAATGTTCAACCTCCAAAAGCACAGTAAAGCCTATGTCATGAGATTATCATAGGGAAGGGAGTTAGCACATAACAATAGCATATCCTGAATCCCCCAATTGTGCCACCATTCACAAAAGAAAGGTCCTAATCTATCCATCCATAACTGGAACTCGAGAGTATCACTAGATAAACAGAAAACACAAGAAGAGAAAGTATCAAGTTTAAACGAAGGTTGAGCTAGCAGGAGCTTATCCTTCCCGAGTACATCGTCGAAACCCTCGGGCGAGATAACCCCACCGTCCTTTCTGAAGGGCGCAAGCCCGGGCCGACCGTCAGGCAAGGTTTAGATTGCCCTTTCCATAACCGTTGATGGAGTATAGCTAGCTTAGGCCCTTTGTTTAGCCTTTGACATCAGAACTCTCCCCGTGGCTTAAACGCCATAAGATGCCCTGACACACCCCGAAAATCCTCAAACAAATTCCAGGTGACGAGTGTCTGGACCCACTGAATCGGCAACGGAGACCGCCGGACCCCTATAAAGGAATGATTAATAGGATCGTCGCCGTCGGATCTTGGAGTGATTTGGCTCGTCGTGTGGAAAAGAAAAAAGAAAAGAATGCGATGGGGATGGATGAGATTAGGGTATCGAAAGATTAGGGAAGAAGAAGAGGTGAAAACTTTCTTGCCAAAGAAGAATGAATAAAGTGATGGAGTTGGAGTTTGATGTGAGATACCATGAAGAAACTGACGCAGAGAGAGTTTCCTGATGATATGATGAGACCCACGAATCGATTTAAAATGCTAAGTAATTTTACAAAATTACCGGGACTACAAATTAACTTTTGTCCAGATAATCTTGTGGGAGCATTTGTACACACCCAAAATTGATTGGGTTGGTCCAGTACAACTGCAGCCCAAGTCTTGGGAGGTTTGCGGTCCAGCAGAAGGTCCAAATCAGCAAATGGGCCTACAAACTCGACCAGCCCAGTGATCAAGTTGGCCCAGCTGTAGAAGCAGTCCGATGGAAGTTAGGAAGCCCAATCAGAGATGATTTGAAGGGAGGTTAAAGTTGTTGAGAGAATTTAAGGATAAAATCTTATCCAAACAAATTCAAACAATAAAAATAAGATTCAAGATCAAGACAAGCAATTGCACACGCCATTCAATCCTTCATCTTTTCTTTCTTCAATTTTTATTTCTCTTCATTATTTTTATGTATTTTTTCCAGATTTTACAGTCTTTCGTTTCATTAATTCCAGCTTTAATTTTTAACTTCGTTATTGTTTTATTAGCCTTATTTTTCCTTCTTCGTATATCGCAAGATATCCTGCATTCTTTCTTAAGAAGGCCGGTTCCGACAGATTTTTTCCGGTTAAGCCGTCGGTGACAATTTTTTATGACAACAACATTCTACGTAAAATTAATTTTTTGTATAACATTAAAAATAAAAAATAAGTATTTTCTTTTATAACATACACAAGAATAAAACTACACATAAGGAAAGAGGATTTTACCCCGTGCTGTCTACACAAATGAAACCGACAACCCAAGTTGCCAATCGTCCAATAAACACGCAATTACGTACATTCCACAAACCCCGATTATGTTACGCACTACCTAGCTGGCCTTGTTGCCATGCCAAATTCTTTTTATGGATCTCGAAATGTATCTTATTATAATGTCAAAAATCACTGCACATTGAGCTCAAATCCAAAGTCGCCATGGTTAAAAGATGGAGACGTGACTTTGAATGGATGGACAAATTGAAAAACTGCCTTCAAACTAAATATATATATATGGCTCCAAAGATTAATTTCCAGCACGAGATGTGTAAAGAGAAGAGGATGAAAAGATGAAACTCTACCTTATAAATTTGCAATTTAATCCTTAGCGTATATAACAAATTCGTCTTGGGATTAAATTTTAATTTCATAAATTATAATATATAATTAAATAAGTTCGTACTAATTTATTTTCTTAGTTTCCGCCGTAACATTACACATGTACTTTCAACTATCGGTAAAAGCTCAATTTTTAATCAAAATAGCAAATGTTTTGCCCATATAGAATATAAGCTGTAAGAATAATATTAAAAGAGAAAGATAATAATTGAGTATGGATAAAAATTATATTTTACAATTTTTCATAGTTATTGTATATACGTTTTTCTATTTTCTTATTTTTTGACTTTGTTAAACCTATTGTATGCTTATTGCACCAGATTATAAATATGTTAAAGCATTAATGAATTAAATAATAAATATTAAATATTGTCTTGATCTATTAAAATAAAAAAATTATTAAATTAAGATGCAAATATGTTAAACACTTGCGTCTCATTAAACCATGTATATAATTATTTAAATTTTGTATAAAACAAGTTAAACTCTATTGTTTAATAATACCATCAAATACAATATCCACGTAATATTTTTATCCCATATGAAGTATCTACGTTATTGTAGACATGAAATTAAATATAATTAGTAAATATAGATATAATTTTAATTGTGATTAGCAAAAGTAAATAAACAAATCGGTACAGAACTATCACATCAGCTGTACTAAAACTTTTTCCAAAAGAATCATGCTTATAACATTATTTTTCCCCAATTGACATTCACAAAATCATCAGTTTCACCCATCGTAAATACACTACCAGAGTATTTAAAACTAAATTAAACTCAACCCTTCTCCAAAACATTTCTTGCAAAAAAAAATTACTTCGCCCAACAAAAATTCACAAAATCATCATTTTTCACTCCCCCGTAAATATACAACCAGACAGTACTTCACAAAGTAGAGCATTAAAACCAAAATCAAACACAAACCTCTAACCATAAAATGAGCAAAAAAATCATAACAAAAATAGAGCATAATAGGTTGTTGGAGTTTATATTGGGAAGAATCGATTATTCGGAATAGCTTAAGGAAAGGAGCACTCGTTGAAGACGCCAAGAAGTTTAATTGTTCTACAAAGACGGCAAGGCGTTGGAAAATCGCACAAGAGAAATTAACCAAAGGTGAGGATGTTAGTGTACATAGGAAAAAGAATAATGTAAGACAAAATAAGATCAAACCTGATTTGGAAGCAATTGAGAGGTTATCAGTGCCGCAACGGTCTTTGATTAGAAACCTAGCAAAATGGATGCAATGCTCAAAATCAACAGTTCATAGATGGGTTAAAGCGAAGCATATTGATAGCCTCGGTGTTTTCAATAAAAAATACTATAACACCACAATTTTCGCGTAGCAAGTAGTGCCGAGGTCAATCCATAGGGTCTGTGAAGTTTAATTTCTGTTTTGTCACAATTTCAAATATTGGGGGGATAGATTAGCAATTCACTAAGATAATTAAAATAAGCGATAAAATTTAGATTTCAAAGAGATTCAACTTCTAGCCAAATGAGTGAACAAGAAACCGGATTAAAGATTCGATCATCGATTTTAAATAATCTTGTTATTCAATTGATAAATTGGTTATAGGCATTAGATACGATCATAACACCCAAATTTTTTTTACTTTATTGGCGGAAATGGTACGACCGATTAACCTCATCCCTAATCAAAAAAATAATTTAGGTACAACCATAAATTAATTTCCTCAATTGAAAATAACCCGAGAAAAACCCAATTCAAATATTCAATCAATTACGAAAAGATTAAATTATTTGATCATGCAATTCATAAGCTAAGCTTGTCAACCTATTTACCACTTTATCAAACAAGTGCACAATTACAGATGCAAATGTTCAATTGGCATACAATTGCTAAACCAATCTAAAATTCGACCGAGATAAAAGATTAAATAAATAATTGTAGTTATGAATCACATAAATTGTACAAATACCAATTTCATAAACAAGATGCAATTTTAATCAAAACATAATCTCACAAATCCAAATCCGAAATCTGAATTCAACCTTGGACTAGAATAAAGAAAATTAGCTACTCATACTCAAAATAAAAGAAAACTATAAGATAAAGACAATGATGATCTTACGGATGCGCTTCCTTTTCAAACCGTCCTTCTCAATCCTTCGCTTAGACTATGAAAGGTGAATGTGAATTGTGATATCTCATCCCATGCCTTGGCCACCTTTTTATAGATAATCGGGTCTTTAATTGCTCATGTAATTGCTCCCTCTCAATCATGATGCCAACAATTATGCATTGATTCTCATAATCCACCTCTTTCCTTAACATGAGAGCGTAATTCAAGTCTTTCCATAATTCTTTGATCGAAAACATGGCATGAGCGTGAATTACTCAATTTCTTTGCACCAATCAATAACATGCCAAAATGAGTAGAAATCTATCCATAACATTAATGGTATTTTATAATTTATCTATATAAATATAGGACAATATATGCATTATCAATTCTCCCACACCTAAACCATGCTTGCCCTCAAGCATAAACCAAACAAGCACACGCAAGAACTTGATGCAATCATAATCTTCAGAAACAAATTCACATTATCACTATCTCAGTGAAACTCAAAACACACCGAGCGCAACATAACATCACTATGAATAAAGTGTATACACTCGGCACTCAAATATATTGGATTAACAAGTCACTCGTGTCGCATCGTAAAAATGATTATCCCATAGGCTTGCATATTGATCACATCTTTTAATTCTTCGAAATCTAATGCAAAAAATCAAAGGGTCTTTAAATAAGTCAAAAAGAAAATATTCCAAGCTTATTTTGTAATATATAGACTCTATGTATCCCAAGATAGATAATACTACGTAAAACTTCTCATCCCTCACTTATTCCTTCATTAACATGCATACTCAAGAGTTTATTCTTGAAAAGTACATAAGAAGAATGCTCACCAAGATAACCCGTAGTACACCCAACTCAACCGATAAGTTAACACCAAAATGCTCCTTCCCGATATAATGCAATGAAAATTTGTGCCATGTTTCTTTTTTTTTTTTTTTTTTGGCTTTTCTCAGTCCTTTCTTAATCCTTTTAACTTTTTTTTTTTTACTTTTCTTTCATAAGCAATAAACAACAATAAATAGACATAACTTCTCATTCCTTTGGAAACTTTAAAATAATATAGCTCGAAACATTTTCCTTTGACTATATGTTCAAATAAATTTTGGCTTTAGAAAGAAAGGTCATAGGTTACTATGCGGCTCGTTTAACAATAAAATAGGGTATTCAAGCTCAAAGGGGCTCACTAAGTGATTAATTTTTTTAGGTACGAAATATATTAGGTCAAATGGTTCATCTTAATGCCCTTATCATATTAATCGCATAGACTCATAGGAAATCAAATTAGACATGCATCTCTACGCAAGTTCTAGAAAACCAAGTCTAGAGTAACAATCAAACACAAGAAGAAATATATAGCATTTAAAGTGAATGCTCTATTAGGCTCAAATCTCTCATAGGGTAAAACATGTCATGCTCAGCATATTTATCGTCTACTTCATCGAAAATTCATCTAATGAAAAGAAATACACAAAGTCTTTAGCACGCAAGTTAGTCATGCAATCGGTAAAATGATTGATATCCCCCCCGCCCTGATTATGCACATTGTCATCAATGTAAATGAATTTCAAAAAAGAAAAAGAGCAAAGGACAACAGGATTTCCCTGAACCGGGTGGGGGTGGTGCGCAAGATCTTCACAAACTCTGATAAATTCATCTAGCATGGACATGCTGCCAGGCCAGAATAGGCATGCCTAAAGTCGTGCCACTTGCTGAAATGATATTCTTAAGTGCTCAAAATATAGTCCAGGCATGCTGAGATCACCATCACCTATGGAAAGCTAGGACAAGCCAATTAACATACAAGAGAAAGAAAAATAAATTAATAAAATTGGGTTGCCTCCCAAAAGCGCATTTTTTTAACATATTTGGCTATACTTTATTAATTGAGAATTTAGGACGAAGGTCCCTCAAGAGCCATCCAAACAAACTTCTTCTCCATCCTTGAAGGGTCATCCCACATGTAACACTTTGTATCGTTCTTGAACTCATTCCTTTTGGCTTTCATCATTGTGGATGAAATTATCAATGGTAGTATCTCACCGTCTCCTAAATGAGAATATCTCAAATGATTCGGTAGCGGCTTTAATTCCAACTCCGGTGGTTGCACATCGAAGGCAATAAATATGTATTAGTCTCGGGCGAGAATAAATGAGCATGGGCATACCTGTGTAAAATCCCTTCTAGCGCCTCCTTGTCTCTTACCTTAAAAGCATCTTGCACTTCAAATTCAATAATATCTAACGAAAAGACCGAGTGAGAATCTGAGAGATGTTCAATTGCATCAAAAATTTTAAATTCAATTTTTTCTCCATCAAATTTCATCATCCAATTACCATGCTTAACATCAATCTTAGTACCACCGTACACATGAAAGGTCTCCCTAAGAGTAGTGGTGATGGGTTGGGTGAATGTTCATCATGCATTTCTAAGACATAGAAGTCGACTGGGAAAATCAAATACTTGGACAAGGACATCCTTTATAATTCATTCGGATATGCATGTGTCCTATTAGTAAGTTGAATAACAATCTCAGTCTTCTTTACTAGTGCAAGATTCAAACAATTATAAATTGATTTTGGCATGATATTAATTGCCGCACCTAAATCTAACATAGCACACTTGACTTCTAACTCTCCTATTTTACATGGGATAGTGAACATACCTGGGTCTCCGCACTTTGGTGGAAGTTTTTTTTGGAGTAGTGCCGAGATATTCTCGCTTGCAATGATGCATTCATCTCCCTTCAATTTCTGCTTGTTGGTACACAACTCTTTTAAGAACTTTGCGTACTTTAGAATTTGGTGGATTGCGTCCAATAGGGGTATATTGAACTCGACCTTTCGAAAAATCTCCAAAACCTCATTCTCTCTTTTCGGCTTTGCCAACCTGGAAGGAAAAGAGGCAAGATTAGTATTCAATTTAGGGACAGTTTCATCAATTACCTCATTTTTCCTCGCATCTTCTTTCTCGATGGTGCTCTTGTCTTTGTCCTTCGAGATGATTGGTTCCGGAGCTTCAACTGTCTTCTCAATCCATAAATTCATGGCACTAATATTCTTTGGGTTCCTTTCCGGTTGTGATGGCCATTTTCCCGTCTCTCTTTCTTTGACATGGCGAAGATCTGCCACCATTTGCTCCATTGGGTTTTAAGGTTTTGAATGCTCTCCCTCGTATCTTGTTGAAATTGAATGGTGTTGGTAGCCATGGTCTTCATCATTTCATCTAGTGGCATGATAGATTGGTTTGGTGAAGGTGGTGGCTGGAAGAATTGTTGCGGAGGTGCTTAAGGTCGAAACCCTTGATGTTTTGGATTCTCATACCTGAGATTCGGATTATTCCTCCACCCCAGAAACAGCGCCAAAAATTAGTGGACCAAAACCGGCTACATTCACATCGGCATGACTTTCCTCGTGCAAGGCAGGGCATGCATCGGTGGGATGCTCCAGGCTTGTGAAAATGCCACACGCTCTCACATGGCATGTATTTCTTGCAGCCAATTGATGAACAATTTTTGTAAGTTTGAAAATTTGTTGATGAAGATAATCATTACCTTCCAAATATTCGACTCCTCTACTTCGAACTGCTGCGAATTCTCTGCCATCCTCTTAGAAAACTCCCATACGGCTTTCGGTGTTTTATCCGCCAACGGTCCTTGGCTAGCAGCATCAATGTTGTTCCGGTCTCGCATGCCCAGTCCTTCGTAAAAGTATTGGAGCAACAGTTGGTCAGTAATCTGGTGTTGTGGGCACCGTGCTCAAAGCTTGTTGAACCTCTCCAGATATCCATGCAATGTCTCTCTTTCTTGTTGTTTGATTCTGCAAATTTCCTTGCGCAATGTCGCCGCCCGCGATGCCGGGAAATACATCCCCAAATTTTTCTTTTTCATGTCCCTCCAAGTAGTGATGCTTCCCACTGGTAGACAAAAGAGCCATTCATTTGCCGCATCCTTCAATGAGAAAAGGGAATGCACGTAGCTTTACTTGTTCTTCGGTAACCGTTGGTGGTTTCATGCTCAAGCAAACCACATCAAATTCCTGCATATGTTTATGTGGTTCCTCATTTGCAAGACCATAAAACAAGGGCAAAAAGTGTATTAGTCCGGATCGTAATTCAAAACTAGTGTTACCTTCAATTTCCAGCAAAGTAATACATAGAGGTTGTAAATTCAAATTAGGCGCAGCCAACTCCCTGAGCGTGTGGGTATCTTCTTCCGCTATATTGGACTCTTGCTTGATCTATTCACTTGGTTGCGAACTCGAAGCCTTCTCAAATTTCAGTTTTCTTCTTGTTTCTTTCCGCAATGTCCTTGCGAACCTCTCGATTTTCGCTTCTTATATTAAATTTTCTGCACAAAAAGAGTGGGGCATAAACTATTAAATATATAATATATAATAATAAAATATAATTGAATGACAAGAAAAGAAATAAATCAAACGCCAGTCCCCGGCAACGGCGCCAAAACTTGGTAGCCTCGGTGCTTCCAATAAAAATACTCTACACCACCATTTCCGCGTAGCAAGTGTTGCCGAGGTCGATCCACAGGGACTGTGAAGCTTAATTTCTGTTTTGTCACAATTTTAAATATTTGGGGAGATAGATTAGCAATTCACTAAGCTAATTAAAATAAAGGATAAAATTTAGATTTCAAAGAGATTAAACTTCTAGCCCAAGGAGTGAACAATAAATCGGATTAAAGATTCAATCATCGAATTTAAATAATCTTGTTATACAATTGATAAATTGGTTATAGGCATCATATACGATCATAACGCCTAGTTTTTCCTTATTTTATTGGCGGCAATGGTACGACCGATTAACCGCATCCCTATCAAATAAATAATCTAGGTACGACCATAAATTAATTTCCTCAATTGAAAATAGCATAAGAAAAATTCAATTCAAATATTCAATCAATTATGAAAAAATTAAATTATTTGATCATGTAATTCCTAGGCTAAGCTTGTCAACCTGTTTACCACTTTATCAAATAAGTGCACAATTACGGATGCAAATGTTAAATTGGCACACAATTGCTAAACCAATCTAAAATCCAACCGCGATAAAAGATTACATAAAACAATTGTAGTTATGAATCATAGAAATTGCACAAATACCAATTTCATAAACAAGATTAAATTTAAATAAAAACATAATCTCACAAGTCCAAATCCGAAATCTAAATTCAACCTTGGACTAGAATAAAGAGAATTAGCTCTTTATACTCAAAAGAAAAGAAAGCAATAAGATAAAGATAATGATGATCTTCCGGAGGCGCTTCCTCTCAAAACATCCTTCACAATCCTTCGCTTAGACTATGAAAAGTGAATGTGAATTATGATACCTCATCCCATTCCTTGGCCCCCTTTTTATAGATGATCAGGTCTTTAATTGCTCCTGTAATTGCTTCCTCTCAATCATGATGCTAACAATTATGCTTTGATTCCCGTAATCCACCTCTTTCCTTAACATGAGAGCGTAGTTCAAGTCCTTCCATAATTCTTTGATCGAAAACATGGCATGAACGTGAATTACTCAATTCCTTTGCAACAATCAATAACATGCCAAAATGAGTAGAAATCTATCCATAGCATTAATAATATTTTATAATTTATCTATATAAATGTAGGACAATATATGCATTATCACATATTAGAGCTCATACAAGTGCTATTAAGCCTGAACTTACCGAGACAAATAAACGTGCAAGGTTAAGTTTTTTCTTACAAGCACTTGATGTTTTTTTGTGCATTAAAAATGCACCATTTTAGAGTATGCAAAACACAGTTCATATGGATAAGAAAATGGTTCTATATGTCCAAAGCTAGCCATCGATTTTACTTGACACCGGTTGAAAAGAATCCACATAGAACATGCAAAAGCAAAAAATTATCTCAAAGATTATGTTCATGTGTGAAGTGTCCCAACCTATATGGGACAATGATGGAGTATTACTGTTTGATGAAAAAATTGAGATTTTTCCATTCACTGAGAAAGTCCCAGCAAGCGAAAATCGAGTGGCTGGTACATTGGAAACAAAACCAATATAATTTGTAACAAGAAAGGTTATAAAAAAGTTGTTTGATTAATCAGGTTAGCCATAATTTACACCTACATATACATTAAATATAAGAAAATTTATTGTGGATGTCTTATACTCTCTCATTTAGAGTAGAAGACCCAACATTTTCTCATGATTAATGTTGCAACTCATTTGATCAATATTTATAGTTTCTAACATGACAAGAATTATGGTTAATATTATGGCAAGTCATTCCAGCAATCAAAGGAAAGTGGTCAGCCAAATTTTCAAAAAATATATTCATTCTGCAAGTTAATGCAAAACCACACTTAAAAGGGGACGGTCTAGATTTTGTACATACATCAATAAACGATAGTTTCAATATTGTTCTTAATTAACAACCACCTAAGTCTCCAGATATTAATGTAAATGATTTAAGATGGTTTCGAGCAATTCAGAGCTTACAAACCGAGAAAGGATGCAAGAATGTCAATGAACTTGTAGATGCAGTTGTAACAAGCTACAATGAGTTGACACCACAAACATTAAACAAGGTATCTTAAGTTTACAAGGTTGTATAATTGAAGTAATAAAATCTAAGGGAGATAATAATTAAAAGCTTCCACATTTGAGAAAATATAGTTTATTTAGGGTGGAAAATCTCCCAAATCAGCTCACCGTTCCTATGGGATTAGTTCATGAATGCATTCAATATCTTATTGAAAAAAAAAAGAGGTGAAGGGAATTGAAAGACTTAGACTGACTTCGGCTATTAGAGATAGGAATATGTTTTTGAAAAATATTTTGTAAATGTTTATGCTTTAGTAAACCTGTAAAAAAACTGTAAATGCGGGTTTATAGTGTAAGCTTTTTGAATGTTTGTAGTAAAAATATTTTAATGTTTTTCTTTTGAAAGCGATTACATGATATGCAACTGTAAATATCAGGGGTATTTCTTTGTTCAATGAAATGCAATTGAAAGAATGTTGTTTCCCCAAATTAGCTCAACATAGAACTTACAAGTTGAGATGAATTGTTGAAAAATGTTTACTATAAGTATATGTCGCAAGCCGAAAGTAAATTCATACACAAATTGTTCACATAAAGATCATCACAACATGATTGAATTTCCAGCACAAAAAGTGATCAATACATCAATTCCACCAATAATAAAGAAATTTTTTCAACGCACCATAGGACACATAAAAGCATGACTTCATTTTGAGCACAAAACATTGATCAATACAAGAAATTCAGCAATAATAGAGCAAATTTTCAAGTGCACACCAAAACGCAACAAATTCCCAGCAAAAATTTCACAAAAACTTTAATGTTTTAAAAAAAAAAAACCATAGATATGTTCAAGCAATAAAGGATTAGAGTAGATCTCACCAACGTCCTCACTAGGGACATGAACTCAAGGGTACATAGAATCGGGAAGGAGTTTTGATTTCATCTTCATCGTGCTCTTCTTCGGAATCATGAAAAAATTCTATTTTCGCCCAAATATCATCATTTTCCATAACACAGGGAGCATCACCTTCAAGTCCGGCATCCTTTTTTAGCAAGGAAAAAGAACGCCGAGATGTTGCTAGCTCTCCCGTAGAACCTATCTGAGAAGTTGAAATCCAACTCCCAATCAAAAGGCTCTTCCGTATCTGGCACTTATCCACCGTCACCTGCACTCGCGGCAAACTGCTCTCTTGAAAAATAAAATAAATCATCGCCATCAAAAGAGGGTTGTAGGGGGGTTGAAAAAATCAAGCTATCCACAACGTGGATTTCATTTTTTCCTTTTCCAAGTTGGTCCCTCAACTCAAAATCATCATTGGAAGACTAAACCACGACCAAGGAACACCCGCAGTTGGGGCATCGATAGTCGGATGCGCGACTAGGGCTTCAGGAAGGAAACGGCAGGGAGAGAGAGGGCACTGGTAACTGCGACGATGCCGACACACCACAGGGGAGGGCCACTGACTGCTTTTTATGCCGACGGTAGCTTTCCATGGAGGAGGAAATCGGAAGAATAAGAGAAAGAAAAGATGAGAAGGAGAAGTGAATTGCGTCATGGTGGCGGTTGGGTTGAGAATAGGGTGGGAATTAAATGAATTAGGGTTCTTTTTGGAATTGGTAATTGTTTTTTTATTAATTACAATTATGATAATTAGAAATTTAAAATTGTAAGTGTGATTAGAATAAATGATTACTTACTAAAAATGGAATGAGACAAATTATGTGGACATCCCGAAATGGAAAACAGAGACACTTTTTGTGGGACAGAGGGAGTATATTTTAAAAGTATTTTTCTTTAAAGATATATGGGATTCGTTCACTTTAATGTTTTTAGAGATGTGTTATATTAAGTAATTCACCAAACTTTGAAAGAATTATAGAGGAATAAACTTTAGTGGAAATTTGGTTGGAGTAGACCGAAATCAGCGGAGGCCCATGAAGAGAGCAAGCAGCCCAGAATTTGGCCCAATAGAAGAAGCTCAACCCACTACGGAAAAAATCCGCAGTCCTGCGGAAAATTGGTGGTTGTTGTGGAAGCTTTAATGGTTGGAAAGCCCCAAAAAAATGGCAGCCCAAATCTAAAGAAGCTTACATTATGAAAAAGACAACAGCCTTTTGACCAGACCCAAGTCGAATCAGCCCAGCGGACATTTGGTTTGGGAGGGCTATTTCGATGCAGAAAATTGGCAGTATGAAGTAGGAAGTAACGTCTACGGAAGTGATAATGGTCATTAAGAAAGAGGGTTGATTAAGATCAACTTGGATGTTAATTAATGGGAGATAATATCAAGCAATTAAGATTGAAGTTATCTCTATTAATGAGCTAGAAGGGGGGTTTTGATGAGTAAATGTGGGAGCTCAAAGGAGTCGCCTATTAATGAAGCAAGTTATGCATGGTTAGTGAGGGGGAGTTTCAAACCTCAAGATAGGCTATAGAAGGTAAAATCAGGGATGAAAAAAGAGTCCCTGACCAACACAACTCTACCAGCTTTTTATCTTTATCTTTCCGGTACTTTTACCTTTTTGTATTTTACTTTCCCGCATATTTATCAATTTCTCTTACAGTTTTTCTTTTGATTTCGCTTGTATTTCTTTTTCCAGTTCTAGTGAAATTTCATCCTTTTTTTCATTCCTATTGGCTGATTTTCTACTAAGATTCATTTCCATAGACATGAAATATAACCTAGAAGCTTTCTGGAGTATTCTAGGGAACCTTTGGCAGTTCTCCAATCGGTTTTATCAAGCCGTTGTGAGACTCGGGATATAAGAATTTTTGTATACAATAAATTGTCACACTCAGTGGGACCACGATCACTTCGTGTCTCACTTTTCGTGAATGCAACTATAAAATTGACAATTGCCACCCATCATGCTGCCAAGAATCAGCATCACCAGAAGTGGAGGTCAGGATATCATACCTTGTGACATCGATCCCATTGCCGGAGAAACATTAGTTCCTGGAGGAAGTAAAGGTCAGACAACGGCCTTATATTTGTTCGCCAGAAGCATCCAAGAACAAATCAGGAAGGAAGTTCAATCATCTATATATGATTCAGCTCTGTTACTGTCTAAATATTTAATGGACGTGATTCGGCTAACCATCTAGAATGAAATGGCCTGGCTGAGAGATGAGGAGGCTAGAAAGGGAAAAGGACCACTGAATAAAACCATTGATGTTGTCTCGTCTTATCATCCGCCCCAGGTAACAAATTCATATGCTCTTCAATTTCAATATGGATATGAATCTATCCTCCAGCGAGATAGAGCTTCAAAAGGAACATCAACAAGTGTGCCGCCTTCAGGAGAAGTTGAATTTTCTGTTGGTCTTACCCATCAGCCCAACCAATCCGCGTGGAGGTCAGGATGGTCTATTGAACCAGCGGTGGACTTTTATTGGTCTAGAAGAAACACATTCTGATTGTTTCCGCCAAGACCATGGGGGATTTAGAATTCTTGGATTCAACCTCTTTACATTCCCCTTTTGTACTATGGAACCCATTGAGGTTCATACGCCTAGATCCCGCCGATTTACTCATTGGTTGGGGGACAGACGACCATGGAGAGTGTGACAACCATGGTAGTTCCATATGCATCGCTACCATATGCATTCAGGAGCATCAGCCCAAATCCACCCAAGCAGATTCTTGTCAAAAGTTCTATTCCAACCAATCGGCCTACCGGAGTACCACCGATAGCCGCTCAAGAAGTGCCACGTTAGAGGCCGCCCGTAAAGGGGCCAGTCCAGCAAAACCTGCCACCCTAGGTGGTAAATCTACCACTTCTAGTGAAAAATTCTCCGTATCTAGCAGGTGACTAATATCATTTTCCAAGTGTTTCTCTTGCGTGGGAGGATCGTTTCCGCTGCATAAGTGGTTTAACGAGTTTCACTAGTAGCTATTCCTGAAGGGCCACGACTAGAGCTGCCGGTTTCAGTGCACATTTCGCTAGCTTTAGTGGAAAATTTGTTACTTCAAGTAGAAAATCTGCCACATCCAGTAGGTGGAGAACATGGTTTTTAGAATTTCTCACTCATGCACAAAGACTGCTTGGTTGTGTTTTATCTCTGCGGATTCCACGAAATCAAGAGCAATAGAAAAACATACAGATGAATCCGCTAATATATCCGGATGCTTTGGAGGAAACGGTTGTGAGAGTATATGGCGATAATCCTCCAAGGATGCCCGCAAGGCCACAGTACCAATGGCCTTTTCCAGACCGAATTGTAGAAGAACATTATATTCCCCGTAATATGAAAATACCAAAATTCACTCTATTTTCCGGAAAGGATTCCAAAATGACCATCAGGCACATAAGCTGATTTTCGGCTCAATATGGTGGAGAGCTCGAGACCAATGAGTGGTACAAACTACAACTTTTTTTTATCACTAACCGTACCAGCTTTTAGTTGGTACACCTCGTTGTGTCCTAATTCATTGTAGAATTGGACTAAGTTTGAGAGTACATTTCATGAGTGTTTCCACAGTCCGCTGCCTAAGACGAATATCATTAACCTTCTCAACTTACGGAAAAATTTGGATAAACCCGTGAAAAATATTTTGAAGCAATTTCGGAGGATTGAGGGTTAGTGAAACTTGAAAATTTGAGATGATCAAATTGTGGACATTGTTATTAATGAGATGCATGCTCAATTACAAGAGAAACTTATCTTCCAAGGGTAAGCTCTAGATGTTGGATTCTAAGGCAACTAGAGATGAAGAAAGCCTTTCGGCAGCTCAAGAAGCTGGGGGCAACAGATTCTATGGTTCCTTAAGAAATTCAAAATGAAGAGGATGATTTGGATCTAGAAAATGGCCAAGAGGGCCACCTTCAGTCGATATCCATTAAGTTTTTTGGAATACGGCCGAACCAAAGCAAGGCACCGGTCTTATCCATACTACAAGAGATTTGAAAGCCACCTTTGAAGGCCACACTCATGAGGATCAGGTAGTCCACTAGGCCACCAAAGTAGATTTATGCTTTAAAAAGACTTTCACCACATAATAAAGTGGCAGAAGTTATTTTCTACAAGGAAGACAGAGTCTACAGAATTACTTTAGTAGAGCAGGTTATGATCAATCTACAGCCCGCATGATGCCCATAGCAGCCTCCAACAGATGGCAGATGGGTGGTAAACTAGCGGAAAGTTAGCAGAAACCCTTGACTAGGACACGGAAGCATCGGATGCAACACCAACATCGGGTAGAACGGTAAGCCATTCAGCAGGCAGACATTGGCAGCAAGGCAACACTTACGGCTCCTAATGGAAATCATAATAGTTTGCCACAAAAAAGTTTATAAACCACTTTTGGATAAGACAAGAATGGCGGCTTAAGCGAATTCCAGCGGGAGATATCATTTCCGGAGGACCTTAAGAAAAACCACCAAAAATTTCCTTTGGCAACAACTTACCAAAAGACCAGTTAGATGATCCGCCAAGGGATGCGCTCATGGAAGAAAATGACGGGTCCAAGGAAAGTTTCATGGTCATTGTGGTGAATGAGGATATAGAGAGAGCAATGAACTATCATAGAGACTTTGCAGTCAATATGATTGAATTTAGCCAAAAGTTTCAGTCCACCATCTTCTCATCCAGAATTTTTGCAAGATAACAAGATGATAGATTACTCGAGCCCAGTTTTGTAGGCTGATGATGTAGAGGACCCAATAGAAAATAAACAGGAGGACATGATTTTTAAAATACCTACTGAGGAAGCAACCTAGCACCTGAGTCCGCTTCTCCTCACCATCTCTCTATACGAGCGGACATTAGGCAATTCCCACAAGTTCACTGGAGTGCTGGTGGCGGATGTCACCGTTAGGAACAGAAAGGACCGGATGATTTCTTTGTAAAGGAAGGCAAGCCAACATATTCTGCCATCTTGGGTCATGACTGCATCCATACATCATAGTGTGTGCCTTCCACACTCCACCATAAAATCATGTTTTATGGGGATATGGTGGAAATAGTGGAGGCAGAAGTAGATGCACTTATGAAGATCCATGTTTTTGGAGGCAATATACTATTCTCCAAACATGTACAGTTTGTTAATGATGGTACTAAATTCCAACAACTGAGGAATGCAACCTTAACCCCCTAGGGATTTGAGGTCCACACGAAGGTTAACCCACGGCCAAATTTCATGAAAGAATATGATGATTAATGACCTAAACTTCATCATCAAGTGTGTTATAGAAGTTATCCTATCAAGAGGAAGAAGAATGGATGCTCAAATCCGTTGAAAAATGGATAATGACTGGGATTTTTCGTTCCTAAAAGTAACTTTCAATGCTTTAAAGAAGACGAACAAGGGTTCTTGCCTTGCGAAAGTTGTGACTTTTGAGTGAATTTGGAGAACACCTTAAGAAAACGAGAATGAAAGTGACAGATTTAAGCATAGGAAAAACAAAAAAAAATGAGGAAGAATGCAATCGAAAGTGGAAACAACAGGTGAAATCAAGTGTAGGCGCACAAAACCTATTGCCTTGAAATCAAAAGCAACAAAAAAGTGCTAGAATCAATCCGCAATTATAGAGAAGATATCTTGCTCTCAAAAATGTTTCTTGGCCTTCTATTCTGC